TACGCGGGCCTCTCACTGTTGTGGCCTCTCCTGTTGTGGAGCACAGGCTCTGGACGTGCAGGCTCAGCGGCCATGTCTCACGGGCCTAGCCGCTCCGTGGCATGTGGGATCTTCCCGGACCGGGGCACGAACCCGTGTCCCCTGCATCGGCAGGCGGACTCTCAACCACTGTGCCATCTGGGAAGCCCCCTAAGTTGTTTCTGTGTATAAGGCATTAAGGGGAGGGCACAGAAGTCCAAGAAATAGATATTATTCAAAGAGGTTTTAAGATAAAGTTCTATTTCCTTTTTCCAGAAATACTTTGAAGTAATAATTAGATATTATCTGCTCTGGTTTCTCCATCCCCTGCCCACAGATTTATTTTGTTTCAGAAATTGGAAGAAAACACACTTCTGTCTTAGGAGGAATAGAAAAGAAGAGGTCCATCCATAGTCAACTTTTGTGGACAGACCTGGTCCTGTTTCCCCAAGAAAAATTATCTGATTTCTTTCTTTAATAACAGAGACAACCAACAGTGATGACATAGAATTATGTATTTTCTTTTCTCATCTGGGTCATTGAGAAGTCAGGCTTCTTCCATTCTTTAATTAAAATATTACAAAGTAACAAGCATGCACCCTGTTATTTAAAGCAAGAAATAAAAATGTTGCAAGCCATTTTGTGCCTTGGTTACTTTCCCTTAGTAACACAAGTTGTAGAGTAGTGCTCTAGGTACATTGGTTACAGTTAAGCCAATTTTTACAGCTCAAGGAGGAATTTTTATATGGAAAATGTCCAAGAATGCCTCTATTTAAGAATGCAAGATTTAAATGGACAGCTACATGTAAAAGAATGAAATTAGAACACTACCTAACACCATACACAAAAATAAACTCCAAATGGATCAAAGACCTAAATGTAAGACTGGACACTATAGAATTCTTATAAGAAAACATAGGAAAAATACTCTTTGACAGAAACCACAGCAAGATCTTTTTTGACCCACCTCCTAGAGTAATGGAAATAAAAACAAAAATAAACAAATGGGACCCAATTAAACTTAAAAGCTTTGCACAGCAAAGGAAACCATAAACAAGACAAAAAGACAACCCTCAGAATGGGAGAAAATATTTGCAAATGAAACAATGGACAAAGGATTAATCTCCAAAATATACAAACAGCTAATGGAGCTTGATATCAAAAAAACAAACAATTAAAATAAAAAATGGGTGGACGACCTAAATAGACATTTCACCAAGAAGACATACAGATGGCCAAGAGGCACATGAAAAGATGCTCAGCATCACTAATTATTAGAGAAATGCAAATCAAAACTATAATGAGGTATCACCTCACACTGGTCAGAATGGCCATCATCAAAAAATCTAGAAAAAATAAATGCTGGAAAAGTTGTGGTGAAAAGGGAACCCTCTTGCACTTTTGGTGGGAATGTAAATTGATACAGCCACTATGGAGAACAGTATGAAGGTTCCTTAAAAGACTAAAAATAGAACTACCATATGACCCAGCAATCCCACTACTTGGCATATACCCTGAGACAAAACCATAATTCAAAAAGAGACATTCACTACAATGTTCATTGCAGCGCTATTTACAATAGCCAGGACATGGAACCAACCTAAATGTCCATCGACAGATGGATGGATAAAGAAGATGTGGCACATATATACAATGGCAAGTACTCAGCCATAAAAAGAAACGAAATTGAGTTATCTGTAGTGAGGTGGATGGAACTAGAGTCTATCATTCAGAGTGAAGTAAGTCAGAAAGAGAAAAACACATACCGTATGCTACACATATATATGGAATCTAAAAAAAAAAAAAAAAAAAAAAAGGTACTGATGAACCTAGTTGTAGGGCAGGAATAAAGACACAGGCATAGAGAGTGGACTTGACATGGTGGTCAGGGAGAAGCTGGGGCAAGGTGAGAGTAGCATCGACATATATACACTACCAAATTTAAAATAGCTAATGGGAAGCAGCAGCATAGCACAGGGAGATCAACTCGGTGCTTTGTGACCATCTAGAGGGGTGGGATAGGGAGGGTGGGAAGGAGGATCAAGAGGGAGGGGGTGTGGGGATATATGTATGCATATGGCTGATTCACGTTGTTGTACAACAGAAACTAATTGTATTGTGAAGCGATTATACTCCAATAAAGATCTATTAAAAAAAAAGAGAGTAGTATTCCAGAGTAGTGTTTCCCAAAATGTATTCCACCACATATTAGCTCTAAGAGTTGACCTTTGAAAAATGGATCCCATGGTCAAATAAATCTAGGTAATGTAGCAAAGCTATTCCTCCCTCATAGCGTTTAACCATTAGTGCATTAAAGGCTCTGATAAGTAGAGCTATAAAGAACTTGTGTTTTGGACAATTCATGGAACTAGTGTTTCCTTAACACACTTCAGGATACACTGCCTCTGGCAGAAGCTGTAATTGTCCCCTGTATCCATTCTCTTTTTCCTTTTAGTAAGAGAATCTCTGAATTGTAGCGAGGCACATAGCTTTCCAGGTAAACACCACATTTTCTACCTTCTTTATAACCGGTTGCAGCTGTGTGAATGATTTTTTTGCCAGTAGAATGTGAGCAAAATTGATGTGAGCAAAACTGAGTGTTGCTCCTTTAGAAGGAAGTTGCTTGCCCTCTACTTTCTATCTTTCCCCATTCTTGCTGGCTGGAATGCTCAATTGCCGGTGACTCAGTTTTGACCATCTGGCCAGACAACATTGTAGGGGATGCCAAATGAAAAGATATAAGGAGTCTGGGTCCTGGATGGTTTTGAGGACTCGCTGTTTATATCTGAATTGTTTCATGGAAGATAAATAAAATTTATTTTGTTTGAACCACTCAAAAAAAAAAAAAGCGAGATTTATCAAAAGTTTCTTGGAATACTGGCAGAATGGTGGAGAGAACCTGGACTTTGTTATACTCCTTGCTTCAAATGTGGCTGTGAAGCTTATTAGTAATTTCACCTTGGGGAAGTGATGATCTATTTGAATCTCAACTTCCTCATCAATAAAATATGATGAAAATATCCCAGACACAGGGTTGTTAATAATGAAAACAGCATACGTAAAATACTTGACTCCATACCTGGTGCAAAGTAAGGGGCTCAATAAATGTAATATTCTCCTTACCTTGGGAAAAAAAAAAACACTAAAAGACAGGGACTCTAATGCTCATAGAAGCTTTATTTATAATAGTCCCAACTGTAAACAACCCAAGTGATAGCCCAAAATGGCCATCAATATTAGACTGAATTTTTAAAGGTTAGATAATCATACTATGCAATACTATACAGCATGAACTACTGTTACTATTAAAAGCATGGATAAATCTCACTAACATAATGTTAAGTGACACAAAATAATACATACTATATAATTCCATTGAAAGAAAGTTCAAAAACAGGCAAAATTAATCTACAGTAACAGAGGTCAGAAGTCTTAACCTTTTGGAGGGAGGTTAGGTCGGAAGGGGGAAAGAAGGAAACTGCTGGGGTACTGGAAAGAGTCTATGTCTTTACCTGCATAGTTGTGGTCATTAGAAGGGTATATGTATGTAAAACTTCATCAAACTATACACTTAAGATTTGTACATTGTACATGTACATTATTTACCTTCGTACATATAAAAATAATATATCACCCCCCCCAAAAAAATTCCTCCTGTTTCTTTTGTCCCAGGAGCTAGATTTTATATCAATATCGAATTTATTCATTAGGAGAATATCTGACTGTAGATATGACACACCATAGCTGGCTATCTTGCAGGCTGAGTCTGTCCCTTGTAAGTGGCCCCATTTCAGAGCTGGCCTGGAGGTGACAGGCATATTATGAAGGTCATGCTCCAACACCATTAACAGCTGGAGATGCCATCACATGCCATCAGCAACAAAACACAGGGAAAATGAGGCAGTGGACTGTGCTTCCCACCCTTAGGCTGCGAGGCACAAGCCCCAGCAATGGAAGGATTAAAAAGCATCTCAATTTAAAAAGACAGGGAGAGGGGAGGGGAATGTGGGCTGCACAATTTATAAATAGACATTACCAGAGGCTGCCTGATGGTGAAGTGGTTGTTTAGTAAATCTTTCTCCTTTAAGGATTCCATTATCAGAGACCATTTGAAAACATCAGTTTCATTTTGTCTTTTGAGGGAGATCCTGGGTTTCATCAAGTCAGCCCTGTTGGGTAATATTTCTCTCTGCCAGATTTAGGAACAGGCCTTCGATATTTTGAATCACCTTTACATGGAGCACAAAGATGATGACGATGATGATGTGTCTTTTGCCAAATGGATGAGCAGCTTCTGGGGTCACAGCTGGATAGAGGAGGATGAGAGAGGACTCCGGGACCGCCATGGATCACAGGACTCCAGTTACAGGAAAACCTCCCTGCCCTGCCCAGTGAGTTATTATGATGGAACCGGGGGGAGAGCTAGACTAGGGGAAGGGGATTTCTCTTAGATCTTTTTGAGAGTCCTTTGGTATAAAGTTTTCTTTGGTTGAAAATGAGTACTTCCAAACCTTTTCTTATACTCAAAAAAATCCCTTTTATCATTTTGTCTTGTCCTCAAAAGGACCTGATTTTCATCTATTAAGTAATGATTCCTTCATTTTTAGCAACCTAAGATATATTTAACCGCTGGTTACCGCTGATGGTACTGACCTACCGTGTTTTTTTTTGTTTGTTTGTTTGTTTGTTTTGGTGGGGTACGCGGGCCTCTCACTGTTGTGGCCTCTCCCGCTGAGGAGCACAGGCTCCGGACGCGCAGGCTCAGCGGCCATGGCTCACGGGCCCAGCGGCTCCGCGGCATGTGGGATCTTCCAGGACCGGCGCACGAACCCGTGTCCCCTGCATCGGCAGGCGGACTCTCAAAAACTGTGCCACCAGGGAAGCCCTGACCTACCACTTTACGAGTTGAACACTTGAATCTTTTTTTTTCCTGATGCTGTTGCCATATATAGGTAGTTGACTATAACCCTCTTGGCTCTGTTGATAGGCAATTAGTCTACATTATAAAATATTCCTCACATAAAATTCTTTTAGACTAATTCCTAAAGACCTACAAATTATTATTACTTTCGTAATCGAATTCTGTTACAACTGGTACATTATTAAAAGTCACGTTTACAGGAAGTTTCACATAGAAATAGAATGAAGTTGTTGCTGCTGTTGAAGACAGAAGTTTGGGATTATTCAGCCAAGGAAGGTATGTCTTATGCTTAGGCATGGCACTTTACCTCTCCTGCACAGTCACTAGTCACATGTCATAGGCAAGTCACTTAGCCAGACTAAGATTCATTTTCTTCATCTGTAAAAGGGGAAGAATGACTTGTTTTGAGGTTAGGATTTGTTTTGAGGTTAGAGATAAGGGCATGGTCCCCAGAGTCCCTGACACACACGGCGCACTAAGATTCAACATGGGTCTTACTGTCTCAACACCTGGATCTTTCTCCCTCTTGTTTCTCATCTTGCTGTTGATGGGTGGCTCAGGTGCTTGTGTTTACTCAGAGGGCAGGAGGGGTACAATTGAAGGTTGATTGCAATTAAACTCAGAATAAAAAACATCAAGTAGTTAAGTTCTTGAAGTGAAGATGTTACATAACTTTTTTTGTAAAGTGAGGACTTATGGCTTGGGGTTAGAGAGTATATAGGATTTTTTTTTTTTTTTTTTTTTGACAGAAATGGTTTTCTGGTACCACAGTAGGAAACAGCATTGTTTTTCAGAGCACTGTTTTCTAGTGAGAGTCAGGGCACTGGGTGGTTATTGCTCAGAAAATCCATGCCTGCTGCAGGCTTTGTAGCCTGGGAGCTGGGGAGTCCAGGTGTTGAGCTTGGAGCATGGGGATCCCACTCCACATGCTAGAGCCTGCTTCACAGCATGGGAGATAGATCCATAAGGTTGGTCCATGACCATAGAGGTGACAAGTCCAGACCTTGAAAAAGTCAGCTATTTAGGGCATTGATTCAAGTCTTTGTGAGGGAAATTACATTAGAGGGCATATAAAATTCCAAAATTAGAGCTTGCTTAGTAAGTAAACATTTTTAAAAGTGGGAGCTTTCTCCCTGTAACCAATTAGAGAGCTCTTTTAAGCTTGTTTCTCACAAGGTCCCACACCAAAAGAGACTAACTGGAAATTTCATCTGCTATAAGGAGATATTAAGTGTTTATTTATATCGTGATGGAAACTCTTGCATTTTTTTCAGGTCTCTCCATGGAAAAGGACATTTATACAAACATCTGCATTTCACTCCCAGTCTCACATTTTTAAGTTTTATTTTTAAAATCTTAGTGTGGTGAGAACATACAACACGAGCTCCACCGTCCTTGGCAGATCTTTAAGTGTACAAGGCAATATTGATCTTTAGGCACAATGTTGTGCAGCAGATCTCTAGAACTTATTTTGCATAACTGAAATTTTATACCCATTGATTAGCAACTCCCCATATCCCCCTCCTCCCAGCCCTTGGCAACCACCACTCTGTTCTTGCTTCTATCAGCTCGACCATTTCAGATACCTTATATAATATCTGTCCTTCTGTGTCCCAGTCTCAAATTTTAAGTATTGTATTTTTCCTGATAATATAATACATGATCACTGTAGAAGACATGAAAAATACTAAAAAGGAGTAGGAAGAAAACAACCCCAGATCGCAGACAAAGGCTTTGATCACAGTTGGGTATGTTTTAAGATTGCCCATCTATGATGTCCCCACAGCTTACCCATCTCAGCCCTCCCCGCTCCTCTCAGGCGCTCCCTGGCCCTACCAGACTTCTCTTCCTTCTACGCCGGCAAGCTCCTTCTGTGGCAGGGCTTCTGCACGTATGGTCTCATCCTCAGGCGGACAAGTGTTCTCTGTTTCCTAATTAACCCTGCTCATCCTTCAGATTGTAGCTTGTCACACCTTCACAGAAGTCTCCCCTCATCCTCCCAGTCACCTCAACACCCACCCAAATATATGTAGTTTTACTCTGCTATACCCTGTTATTGCACCTTGAACATTCCCTTAATAGCATTTGGCCAAGGATGTAGGCATATGCCCCATTTATTTATCTCCATTGCAGACATAAGTTCTAAGAGGGGGCCACTCTGTTTTGCTCCCCAATTTATCAATAGCACCAAGTACCACATCTGACCTACAGTAAATGGACTAATTTGTACAGACTTACCTCACGTATCTTAGCAACTTTATAAATCTTTTTGTTTTAATTTATTTTATTTAATTAATTTATTTTTGGCTGCATTGGATCTTCATTGCTGCACACGGGCTTTCTCTAGTTGCAGCGAGCAGGGGCTACTCTTCGTTGCGGTGCGCAGGCTTCTCATTGCGGTGGCTTCTCTTGTTGCAGAGCACGGGCTCTAGGCGCAGAGCTTCAGTAGTTGTGGCATGCGGGCTCTAGAGCACAGCCTCAGTAGTTGTGGTGCACGGACTTAGTTGCTCTGCGTCATGTGGGAATCCTCCTGGACCAAGGCTCGAACCTGTGTCCCCTGCATTGGCAGACGGATTCTTAACCACTGCACCACCAGGGAAGACCCAACTTTATAAATCTTTAACCATATTTCTGATTATTTTTTGAGAGTAAGTTTCTATATATGTGTATTAGTTTGCTCAGGCTGCCATAACAAAATACCACAGGCTGGGTGGCTTAAACAACAGCCATTTATTTCCTCATAGCTCTGGAGGCTGGAAGTCCAAGATCAAGGTGTCAGCAGGTTTGGTTTCTTCTGAGGCCTCTCTCCTTGGCTTGTATTGATAGATGGCACCTTCTCGCTCTGTCCTCACATGGTCTTTCCTCTGCGTGAGTATATCCCTAGTGTCTCTAAATTTCCTCTTCTTGTAAGAACATTAGTCAGATTGGATTAGGGCCACCCTAATGGCCTCATTTTAACTTAATCTTTAAAGACCCTATCCCAAATACTGTCACATTCTGAGCTACTCACGTAGGGCTTCAACATATGAATTTGGCGGGGCGGGAGTCGGGGGGAGGTATGACACAATTCAGCCCATAATAACATGCAATGTATGGACCCAAGGAGGGAAATTATTTTAAGCCTTTTGACTCACTCATACTGCCAACAGCTTTCTAGGAAAGCTGTATCCATTTATAGTCCTACCAGCAAGGAATGACAGTGCCTATCCCCCAGCACTCTTACTAGTGTTAGTATTATTAAAAAAATTTTTTTTGCTAACCTGGAAGGCAAAATTGTATGTGATATCATTTAACATAATTTTTGACTACTAATAAGCATAAACAATTTTTATGTTTGGTATTTCTTTTTCTTTCATTCTTTATACATTTATTCATTCAATATATATTTAATGAACTCATGCTATGAAGAAGGCAAAGTGCTGCATACTGAGATTCTAGCAGAGAATGAAATGTAGCCCCTGACATGAAGGAGCATACAGTCTAATGGAGAAGAGAGATGTGTAACAAAATTAACCAAATTATTGATGACAGCTGTGATAAGTGTCATGAAGAAGTGTGAGATCTCAGGAGAGTATCTAATGGTGGTTCAGGGGCCTGAACCAATTGGGGTGGTACGAAAGGCTTTCTGGGGAAATGCAGTTTCCATGGTGACTGAAGGGTGATTAGCCAGAGATGAGGTGAAGCGATGGGGTTGTGTGCGGGGTCACAGCCAGAGAGGACCACTTGTGAAAGTGCCTGTGCTGGGCAGGAGCAGGTGAGCTGAAGGAACTGACAGAAGACCAGTGAGGCTATGTCACTGAAGAGGTGAGGGTGGTGCAAGATGAGGTGTAAAATGAAATGTGATCAAGTATGAGTCTGACGTTGTTTTAACTATGCTGGCTGCTGTGGGAAAAGTGAAATAAAATGAGTAAAGATGAATGCAGGATATCCACTACTACGAGGCTGCTGCTGGAATCTGGGTGAAAGGTAATGATGACTTGGATTAGGGTAGTAACAGTCGTGCTGGAAAAAAGTAGATGGTTTTGAGAGACATTTAAGAGGTGGAATCTGCTGACTTGGCAACTGGATGTGGAGGGGGGCTTCTGAATTACTGGTCTGAGTAACCGGGCAAATGGTGGTGCTGGTTTCTGAGTTCTGGGACACCTGAGAAGCAGGCTTGGGAAGGAGAGATGATGAGTTCAAATTTGGACAAGTCAGGTGGGGTGCCTGTGGGATACCAAGAGGAGAAGTTGAGTGGGCAGAAGCTCAGAAGAGAGGTCTGGGCTAACAAATAATTCAGAAACTCAGTTATAGATGGAAATTGAAGCCTGGGGGTGAGACATTGAGGGAGACAGTGTAAAGTAAGAACGCAAAGGAAGGGAAGGAGGACTAGTTTAGAGTGTCGGGGGACTCCAACAATTATGAGTAGTTAGAAGGGAGAAGTGAGCAAGAATGTCCAAAACACAGTGGCAGAAAGATCAAAGGGAAACCAAGAGGGTGCAGTGGTAGAAGGCAAGGGAAAGACTGTTTCCAGAAGGGTTCAATAGGCAACTGGGTTGAATGCTATGGAGTGACTAAAGACCATTAAGTGCCCAGAATTTGGCAACATGGAGACCAATATCCTGACTAACATTAGTGTTAGATGAAAAAGTATGAGATAGCCTCATCCACCAGAGCGCAGACAGCAGAAGCAAGAAGAACTACAATCCTGCAGCCTGTGGAACAAAAACCACATTCACAGAAAGATAGACAAGATGAAAAGGCTATGTACCAGATGAAGGAACAAGATAAAACCCCAGAAAAACAACTAAATGAAGTGGAGATAGGCAACCTTCCAGAAAAAGAATTCAGAATAATGATAGTGAAGATGATCCAGGACCTCTGAAAAAGAATGGAGACAAAGATTGAGAAGATGCAAGAAATGTTTAACAAAGACCTAGAAGAATTAAAGAACAAATGGAGATGAACAATACAATAACTGAAATGAAAACTGCACTAGAAGGAATCAATAGCAGAATAACTGAGGCAGAAGAACGGATAAGTGACCTGGAAGACAGAAAGGTGGAATTCACTGCTGCAGAACAGAACAAAGAAAAAAGAATGAAAAGAAATAAATATAGCCTAAGAGACCTCTGGGACAACATTAAATGCAATAACATTTGCATTATAGGGGTCCCAGAAAGAGAAGAGAGAAAGAAAGGACCAGAGAAAATATTTGAAGAGATTATAGTCGAAAACTTCCCTAACATGGGAAAGGAAATAGCCATCCAAGTCCAGGAAGCACAGAGAGTCCCAGGCAGGATAAACCCAAGGAGAAACATGCCAAGACACATAGTAATCAAATTGGAAAAAATTAAAGACAAAGAAAAATTATTGAAAGCAGCAAGGGAAAAAAAACGACAAATAACATACAAGGGGACTCCCATAAGGTTAACAGCTGATTTCTCAGCAGAAACTCTACAAGCCAGAAGGGAGTGGTGTGATATACTTAAAGTGATGAAAGGCAAGAACTTACAACCAAGATTACTCTACCTGGCAAGGATCTCATTCAGATTTGATGGAGAAATTAAAACCTTTACAGACAAGCAAAAGCTGAGAGAGTTCAGCACCACCAAACCAGCTTTACAATAAATGCTAAAGGAACTTATCTAAGTGGGAAACACAAAAGAAGAAAAGGATCTCCAAAAACAAACTCATAACAATTAAGAAAATGGTCATAGAAACATACATATCGATAATTACCTTAAACATGAATGGATTAAATGCTCCAACCAAAAGACACAGGCTTGCTGAATGGATACAAAAACAAGACCCATATATATGCTGTCTACAAGAGACCCACTTCAGACCTAGGGACACATACAGACTGAAAGTGAGGGCATGGAAAAAGATATTCCATGCAAATGGAAATCAAAAGAAAGCTGGAGTAGCAATACTCATATCAGATAAAATAGACTTTAAAATAAAGAATGTTACAAGAGACAAGGAAGGACACTACATAATGATCAAGGGATCAATCCAAGAAGAAGATATAACAATTATAAATATATATGCACCCAACATAGGAGCACCTCAATACATAAGGGAACTGCTAACAGCTATTTTTTGCCATACTACAAGGTACTACAGAGTGAGGCCTGGAAGGACTTGAAGGTAACAACTTCAGCTTTTTGACAAATTCTTTGAGAAACCTGAGGACCTCCCCTGCCCCTAAAGAGGTTATCATTTACCCAAGGTCACATAGCTAGTGAGTAGCAGATTGACATACCTGGGTTTTCTGACTTCAGATCTGCTGGCCTTGTTGCTCCAAGTTAGCAGTTAGTAATGCCAGGACGCAGAAAGAGCACAGAGTGTGGTTACAACTGACTTGGATTGCAATCCTAGCTCTTCCCTTTATCAGCCATGTAGCTTTAGAAAATCCATTTAATCAGCTTTTCTCAGATAAATAATAGCACTGTGGAAAAGCAAGTTTCTGCTTGTTGTGAGGGGCAGGTGTGTCTGCACATAGTAGGTGCTCCATCAATGGGACCTCATCTCAAACTCCAAACCTAGGTGTCTTGGATCCCAGAGTATGGGCCCCTTTGCCCACACGCTTGTGAAATGGGTCTAATCCTCTGTAACACATGAGATACCAAGAAATCCTAAAGTCTCCATCAATTTTTATCATATGAAGTTTATACAGCATCATTCATTATAAGAAAAATACATATTAAAACAATAATACTATCTCACTCTTCCTATTTGTTGGCAGTTTGGGGAAACAGGCACACTCATGGTTTGGAATATTAATTTGTATCATCTCTTTGGAGAATAATTTGACAATACATATCACAATTTAAAATGCACTTATTCTTTATTAACCTACCTGTTTCACTTTTACAGATACATTCATACACATCCAAAATGTGTATCATTGCAGCATTCTCTACTACAGCAAAATTTGCACAGGAACTAAATATACCTTTTAAAAAACAAAAACAAAAACAAACAAACAAAAAAGAAAAAGTGTGAGTGAAAAAGCTGGAGTGGAGTGGGCTGGGGAGTGAGAGAAATTAACAGAGCAAGTGTCACAATTCTTTCCAGAAGTTTGGTTTATCTGAACTATCTTTTTTTTCATCATTTTCCAATTGTGATTTTAACACTGATGTCATTGTAGTACATGACCTCTATGTTTGTGTGTATTATGTGAAATACCCTTATTTTCAGAATATTTATTAAACATGCAGCAAATATTTTTAAAGTTTTTGTCTACCATATTATATGTTGTTTTTTATGCACGTTAGCTTTATTTTTATATAGTTAAATTAATTTTTTTCCTTATGATTTCTTCCATGGCTCTTTTGCTTAGAAATTCCTTCTCCATACAGAAAGCACACAAATATTTGCCTTTGTATTATATCTTAAATGTTTATGGCTTCATTAAAAATTTATTTTGATCATTTTGAAATTTATTTTTACATATCAATTTAAGGCTGGAACACTTTATTATACCACCCTAATGATAGAGGAGCAACATAGCTAATCTTGGGATGTTCTACTTACTGTTTTGACCAACTGACCCCACTGCCTCATTGCAGGAGAAAGCTCCTACTGATCAAGATAAAATTTCAGTCCAACATGAGATTTGTTTGGTTAGTAATTTATGGACATTCTGTCTCTGTGCTAATATTGTGCAGTCTCTTTATATTGTAAAATTTTAAATTCTGTTTTCCCAGTTTCCTGTGCTTCCCAGCATGATGTCATCTGACAGCCATCCTAGAAGTCATTCTTATGAGGACCAGGGATTCCAATGCCATACTCAGATGCGGGATTACAGAAAATGCTCAGGGGATGGGTCATTCAAGGAGCCACTGGAATCAAAAAGAAGATCCCATTCCAAAATTCAGGCATTTTCAGAGTCCTTTGAACAGCAACTCTGCTTTAGAACCAAACGCTCTGTCTCTTCGGTACGTAACAGAGTTATTGAATATTTAACCATTTTAGAAAAGGAAACCCAAAGGATTCATCCTTCCCTAGTTTGAGGAGAACAAATCTAACTTCTTCATTTACAGGTTGGTGTTGTGATCTTTGAAAAATGGCACTCAGTTTTAGATAGCCCAGGTGTACATAAAATTATTAATATTGAAAAATGGCAATCAGTTTTAGATAGCCCAGGTATACATAGAATTATTAATATTGAAAAATGGCACTCAGTTTTAGATAGCCCAGGTGTACATAAAAGTTTTAGATAGCCCAGGTGTACATAAAATTATTATTATTGAAGACATGTGGTGTAGGAAGAATTCCTAAAGGAGCACATGTGGAATGTTTTTGTTACCAAGGTCCTCTGTTTTCATCACCCTTATTATAAATAATTGTGATTCATTCTCCTTTTACTGTCTGAAGAAGAAAAAACTGCCCCTACTGCTCTTGTTCTCTCATATTTAATCTGGTAGGAAATAGTTTGTGATGGTGTTGTGTTCCCCTGTACTTTTAAAAAACACACAGAAGGAACTCTCTGGACACTATGGTGTGAGTATACAGGAGTAGAGGAGCAATCCAGGCATTCACAGTGGCCTCATCAGAGTCTAATTGAAGCCCAAGGGAGACAAAGGCAGGAAATGGGGGAAAGAATTGAAACACGACTGATGATGCCAAACTTGATACATAAAGTAATAAACTAGAGACCAGTTAATTGGGGGGTAGTTTTTCAACTCTGCAACGTGCTCACTGAGTGGCCTTGAGCAAAATACTTTTTTTGTGTGTGTGTGGGTCTTTGGTTTTGGTTTTATTTTGCAAAACAAGAATAATGATATGTTTCTGCCATGTAGTAGGCAGAGCAAATAAGTAAACCTAGGTGTATTGCCACCTGGGTCTTGAGCTGTGCTCTGTGAATGGCCAGGGGAAGGCACTCAGGTGCTTCCTACTTCATTGTCCACCTGAGTGCGGTGCTTTCTGCCTAGCAGTGATGGCTGTTGGGATTGTCACTGTGCATCTTTGCCTCACAGATGGCACCTCACTTTTGTCACAGTGACCTTGTGTATCTACGATTCCCCTTCAGTAAGCTGCTCTCTCTACTGGATCATAAGAGGAATAAGGAAGGAGGAGTAGTGAACAGCTGTCACTTACTCTATCTAAACCTTATTAAGAGTTTCTGTTTTGTCTTTTCTTTATACTGTTTTTTTAAGATATGGTTTCAGACTTAGAGCAAGGTTGCAAGAATAGTACAAAACTACACCCTTCATCTAGATTTCCTCTAAATGTGAATATATTATCACATTTTCCTATACCCTCTCTCTCCTTCCCACCCCCAAACAAGGGCACAAGGACATAAATACAGTACAATAATTAAACTCAGGAAATTAACACCAATACAAAACTTTTATATCTAATCTATTGACCTTATTCATATTTTGTCAGTTGTTCCAATAATATTTTTTAAAATGAGATTCCAGATCATGCAATGCAACCGATTTTCATGTCCCTTTAAGGTATTTTATTTCTGGAAAAATGCCTTGGTCTTTTTCATGGGACTGGCATCTGAAGAGTACAGGTCAGTTATTTTTTAGAATGAAGCTCAGTTTGAGTTCATCTGATAGTTCTTCATGATTAGATTCACATTATGAACTTTTGGCAGGAATAAAACAGCCGTGAAAAAATTCCTGTTTCAAAACTGCGTGTTGAAATCATTAATTATATTAATTAGGGGACTGACTTGCTTTAAATTCTTTCTGAAACAAGGGGGGGTATAAATATATTCTGAAAAAAAATTTAATCTGAACAATTCTTTGTTGATTCTGATGGCTTCAGAAAAATATTCATATCACATATTTACATAAGGGTGTAAATGTGAAATCAGTTTTTATTTAAAGAGGTGTTCATTACATTATCCTTAAAATATAAAAATGTTTGTTTCATTCATTTCTCAAGTTCTTCCTTTTGAGTACCAAGATAACTAAGGCAGCATTTTCAACTTTTTTGACTCAAGAACTCTTTTCATAGTTATGTACAGTCGGCCCTTTGTGTCTTTGGGTTCTGTACCCATGAACTTGAGCATCCATGGATTTTGGTACCTGTGGGTGGTCCTGGAACCAACCCCTTTGCGGATACCAAGGGACAACTGTATAATAGCTAGAAACCTGCTAGGAATTTTCAAAATCATTAAAAAATTTTTCATATTATGTGATAAATATACATGATAAATAATTTTAAATTCAGTATTTATTTTATATCAGTCTTTAAAGAGTATATTATAAAGTTTATCTTAATGCAAAATAAAAAATTTGGAACATTGCATACTTTCTTTTTTCTATTTAACAATTGATACACTTTTCTAAAGCTAACTACATTAAAAAGTGTGATTTTTCAGCAATTTAAAAATAATATATATTGCCTTTTATTTGGGGGCCAAATGTATACTAATACATAGATTTAGATTTTACATCCTTTAGCATCAAGAAGAGCCAGAAACTGCTTTTGTGACCTGCTCATGACAAACAACATTAAATTTTTTCATTTTTATATTGAAAAACTCAACTGGCTTATTTTGATAATTTTTCACATTTTTGTTTCTAAGTGATGAGATAAGAAATAATATTTCAGGTCATTATTTATGAGCAATTTTTGGGTAGTCTTGATTCTCAATAAGGGAAAAGCCAAATTGCAAATAATCATCACTATATTTTCTTTTTTATACTGTTTTTATAAGGATTAGAGACATTCATGGCTGCTAAATATGAATTATGATCAGACTGATGGATTTAATACAAGCACTTGAGCTAATGAAAATAATCTGGAGGCACATTTACAGAGCTAGTACAATTTTTAAGCTTCTCTTAACTTGCATCTCAGCTTCATCATTTGTTTTGCTTTCTGATTTTGACTAATGGACCATTATAGATAGAAATGAAATAATCTAGGTATGAAAACAATTTAACAATGTACAGTAGCTAACACCACCACAGTAACCAGACATCCCCATAACTCACCCTGCAGGGCCGAGTCATGACCTTGCCCATATGACTGTTACTCACCACTGCATATGTTCACCTCATAGGCACTTAGGGGTTCTCCAGTGTTTCCAGTTCACTGGAATGGAGGAGGGGAGGAGTAATGATCTTGAAGTGTAAAAATAGATACCACCACATTTATCAACACCATTCTTTTGTCAGTAATTCCTTTGAAAGTCACTTTCACCATGGAAACCAAAGAAGCACCCCCCATCCCAGTTCCCTATCATATCACCCTAAATTTATAGTTATCATTGCACTTATCACTACCTTTTATTTTCTTATTTCCTTTTAGGCTTATTGATTGATTGTCTCCCTCTGCCTAGGTGTAGAATCTAGGAAGTAGGGTCTCTCTAGTTAGTGCCGAATCTCCCCATCTTAGAACAACAGTGTGTGTTCATTCAGTCATTGAATGTAGACCCCTGGGCAACCTGTTGGGGAATGTTGTGTGGTTGAATGTCATTCCTTGACACTTTGTTCTTTACCCAGGCCTCACCTGAAAACTTAGTGCAAACCCTACTATTAATGTAATTTTTTTTTTTTTTGCGGTACGCGGGCCTCTCACTGTTGTGGCCTCTCCCATTGCGGAGCACAGGTTCCGGACGCACAGGCTCAGCGGCCATGGCTCACGGGCCCAGCCGCTCCGCGGCATGTGGGATCTTCCCGGATCGGGGTGCAAACCCGTGTCCCCTGCATTGGCAGGCGGACTCTCAACCACTGCGCCACCAGGGAAGCCCTGTAATTTAAGGGAGTGAACATAAGGAGGTTAGAATCATTCCGTGTATGATTCCCTTGCCACATTCCTTTTCAAAAAGCACCAGAAGGATATTAATTTTACTGTGCCATGGAATCACATCCCTCTGTACATTAGAGGCAGAGTAGTGTGCAGGTTGAGTTTCCTCCATAGACCACCTGCTAATGCCCAAGGCCCCCTATTCCTTTATTTTATGACTAAACCTTTAGCAACACCCTTAGGCTTATGCTAATTTATTACTAGAAACTAAGATGTGAAAGTCTACTAAATGATTAGGGTTTTCTTCATTTCTGATAATTAGGAAAAATGTGGAATGTTGTCAGCTGTTGGCATATCTACCCTTTTCTGACCCTTCTTTTTCAGGGACCTGAGAGCAGAAAGGAGAGAAATGAGAGAGAATACCGGACACTGGAAATGAGGTCTTGCAAGAAAGTGGAGGAAAGAAGGAGCTCTGGGAAGGAAGAGTGTGGAGAAGCGTACCTGCCCACCCTGTCTGAAAAGGGGCCCAAATAGTACTTTGTTTCCACTACTGATGCTGCTGTGTTTTTTTGAGCCCCAATTCACCAGGCCCAGGAGTGGTAGCTGTAAAGAGTCTGCAGATGCTGAGTGACTCAAGTGGGTGGTTGATTCAGCTGCTCCCCAAGACAGCTTGCATCACACTCCAGCTGCTTTTCAGAGTGTGATCTGCTCTGTTGCCCATTTATGGGAATAAAAAGGATAAAAGGTATTTTAATAGCATAAAGTAATTATTGAAAATGTGAAGAGAGATATTTAAAGAGCCACCCACACATCTTCACCAACCCTTCTCCCACATCACCCTCGCAAATAATCTTAAATAAAAGTCATTGGTGTGACTCGATGCTTACTTCCTTATTAGAAGTAATTATGGGCGGTGGAAAGATGGCGGAGGAGTAAGACGCGGAGATCACCTTCCTCCCCACAAATACACCAGAAATACATCTACATGTGGAACAACTCCTACAGAACACCTACTGAATGCTGGCAGAAGACCTCAGACCTCCCAAAAGGCAAGAAACTTCCCACGTATCTGGGTAGGGCAAAAGAAAAAATTAATTAAAAACAGAGACAAAAGAATAGGGACGGCACCTGCACCAGTGGGAGGGAGCTGTGAAGGAGGAAAGGTCTCCACACACTAGGAAGCCCCTTCGCGGGCAGAGATTGCGGGAGGCGGAGCGGGGAGCTTCGGAGCCGCGGAGGAAAGCACAGCAACAGGGGTGCGGAGGGCAAAGCGGAGAGATTCCCGCACGGAGGATCGGTGCCGACCGGCACTCACCAGCCCGAGAGGCTTGTGTGCTCACCCGCGGGGCGGGCGGGGCTGGGAGCCGAGGCTCGGGTTTCGGTTTCGGTCGGAGCTCAGGGAGAGGACGGGGGTTGGCGGCTTGAACATAGCCCGAAGGGGTTAGTGCGCCACGGCTAGCCGGGAGGGAGTCAGGGGAAA